TATGTACAATTATGTGCAAATTTTTTTAAAAAGAAAAAAATTCCAACTGCCTTTTAATCAATAAGAGTTTAATACAAGACATAATTATCGAACCTTGTTTTTTTATCTTGCCTAAAATGATCCAGAAAAAAATAACCACTAATACCAATCTACCACTCAATGACTAACAGACTTTTGCATCAACTTTTGAGGACATGTAAGTTGGAATATGACACAATATATAACCCTATGAATAGATGGGTTACTCAAGCGAATTCATTCTACATGGAAACACACACGTCTGCTTGTAGAAGCTGTAAAAGTAGTTGTTCTAGTTGATCTTCAAAGGATAAGAAAGCCACTAAGGAAGCAAAAACTGTTATCAAAAAATCAATGATTTATTTTGTTTGCAAACATTTTCTCCAAATATTGGCCTCCAGGGAAACCATACTTTCAATAAAGAGGTGCAGAAGACCTCTTCATCATTTGGAAATTTCCATATTTGTAACAGAATACCACCATTAGCACTTTCAAGGAAGAGAAAAATAACTGCTACACTAGCCTGGGAAGTCATTCAGCACTGAGAAAGTACTGGCAGGATTTCTTCTGAGCCACTTGATTGAGAAACATAGTCTACCACCTGTTTCAGAATCATAGTAGAGAAAAGTTTTCCATTGCAAAGTAGTACTAGAGAGGATCTTTGCAAGAAACAAAAGCCATAGAAAATGTTTTTAATAACTAACTATAATTTGGTGATTATCAAAGCATTTATCAGTAATAACATAATGAACAGCACTGTGAGCATCGGCCATATGAATGTTTACTAACAGCAAGGATAACTACTTAAAAAGATAAGTAGTATAATTTTCGTTTGTGTTGTAATCATTTATATCTAAATCACCCCCATCAGTGAAAATATTATAATCATTTTTTAGGCCCGGCGGCGTGGCCTAGTGGCTAAAGTCCTCGCCTTGAATGCACTGTGATCTCATATGGGTGCCAGTTCTAATCCCAGCAGCTCCACTTCCCATCCAGCTCCCTGCTTGTGGCCTGGGAAAGCAGTCAAGGATGGCCCAAAGCCTGGGACTCTGCACCTGCGTGGGAGACCCACAGTAAGTTCCTGGTTCCCGGCTTTGGATCGGTGCAACACAAGCCGTTGCACTCACTTGGGAAGTGAATCATTGGACGGAAGTTCTTCCTCTCTGTCTCTCCGCCTCTCTGTATATCTGACTTTGTAATAAAAATAAACAAATCTTAAAAAAAAAAGAAAAAATATTATAATCATTTTTCTGAAATAGCTACATTTTTAATGAAAACAAAAATTTCCAACCTAATTGTCATCCAAAGCCCTGGACAGTTATTCAAAAATATTACAATAAAATTTCACAAAATAAAACAAATTCTTATTAAAAGAGGTCCAAGAAGATAATTAAACTTGTGAATTAATATAAAATTATCAAAGACAGCTCAAGATTTTCACCCATCACAAACTTCTGTTATTCTTCTCTCCTAATACATTACTAAGTGTGAAGCTGTCACAGGAGCTTCTACATTCTTTTGACAAGAAGTTACAGGATCAGTGTGGCCTGTAAGTACTCAGCCAAGTCAAAAGCAAGACACCAAAATTTTTCATTACTTATTTTCTAGGCTTAAAACAACTTTACATAGAGTTCATTATAAATTTATAGCTTTTATCTACAAGCTATCAAACATATTCTAGATCAAATCCTCCAAGGGATTCTTGGATTTAATCAAAATTAATTTATATTACAAAAGTTCACATTATGCAGGGTTTGCCAAACACATAATCCAGATAGTGTTAACCCTTCCCCACCACTTCAATACTCCCATAAGCTTAGTATTTTTCTCTACTTTATCACTCATTAAGCTATTTAACAGGCGCTCTCCTATAAGACTGCGAATTTCAGGAACTGGAAATACATCTTATTCATCTTTGCTACTGTAAAAATGTTCTAGTCATAATAATCATTCATGAAACACTGAATGAGTAAAAATGCATCAAACTTACTACAAAGCTTAAGTACACAAGAAAGAATTCAAATAAATACAGAGTAAGTTTGAAGAACTCACAAAAAGTAAATCAAACTAAGGAACAGTGAGTTCATTAGAACAAAGACTGGCAGGTAGAAATGGAAGGATAGAGAGGCTGTGGAGAAGACTGAGATGTCTTGAAATTAAGATAAATTCTAACCTGCATTTTATAACTAACACTATCCCCAAGCAAATAACTTTTTCTCTATGGAGAAAATGTCTTTTTAAAAATATTTATTTATTTTTATTGTAAAGTCAGATTTAGATGGAGAGACAGAGAAAGATTTTTCATCCACTGGTTCACTCCCTAAATGGCCACAATAGCAGGAGCTGAGCCAAACCAAAACCAGGAGGCTCTTCCAGGTCTCCTATCTGTGTGCAGGGTCTCAAGGCTTTGGGCTTTCCTCCACTGCTTTCCCACACTAAAGCAGGGAGCTGAATGGGAAGTGGAGCAGCCAGGACACAAACTGACACTCATATGGAGTCCCAGAACTTGCAATGGGAGTATTAGCCAACTGAGTTGTTGCACTGGGCCCAAAATAAAAAGACTAGATTGGCTCATTATTTCCTCATATGCTCATATAACGACTTTAAAGCAGCAGGCAAACTATTTCTGAAAAAAAATAGCACTAACAGAACAGAGTTAATATACCACATTAGATGACATGACTGTGAAGAGAAGTCTACATACAAGTAGAACATACCAACCCATAGTAGTAAGTCACATCAACAGCAGCCATACAGTCACCCATGAACTATATATACATAGCCCTAATGTTCTGCCAAAGCCAAAGCTTAGAAGATGCAAAGAAAAAGATATACACAAGTAGAAGTTTATTAATCCCTAAAAGAAACTATAATACCAATCATATATACATGCATACACAAACACACAAAGGCAATACAAAAACATCTTCAAGTTGTTTTATGAATTGAAAGACCTTTTTTAATGAAATCACATAATTTACTCAGGCTAGCATCTCACAATATTACTCAGCATTTTAGCAAAAATTAAATTTCATTAACATACACATCTAAGGTACACTTTCAAACTATCATCAGAAAATGAGTCTAGACATTTCCAAGCTTTAATACCTGTTATGCTTGGAAGCATACGTTCCATTCAAAATGAAACTAACCATTTGCCTTAAAAGAAATCATCCTACTTTGGATACACAGTAGCAATATAATCCATTTGGAATTCAATCCAACCATGTCAATAATCAGTATTTTAAAAAATATACAGTATGCTCTCTGGACTATGCTAAAAGCTGCAGAAGATAAGAGAGAAGCAAAAGCTCCTTGCCCACAGCAAAATCCTCCCAGTCTTACTAGCAACCACATTCTCCTAAAATCACCCAAGAAGGACCAGAAAGCAGAGTTAAAAACTCCAAAATGCACATAAATTTCAAGATAAAGCAGATCCCTAAAGCAAATTTTACACACCAGATCCAGATATACAGGAACAAAACACACTGTAATCCAAACAACATTTCCACAAGGATCGTAGGCAGAGCACTTGCAGTGAATAACATCACATGTAACAATATTTCAGAACAAAAAACAGGAATAACCTTCCAACTAAAACTATTCAGAACAAAAAGCAAAGACTTCTAACAAAATTAAATGAAAATGTTTATTATTATGGGTTCTATTAAGAGCAAAAAAAAATAAATTTTGAGCACTTCAACTTTAAAGTTAAGTGGCATTTCTATTGTTTACTACATACATAATTCAATGTCCATCTGTTACTGAGATGGCAGAATCCTAACTAGTTTGACATGGTAACTAAGTCTGACAAAGTACAAAACTCGGTCTGGCGCGATAGCGCATCGATTAAAGTCCTCTCCTATACGGGCACCAGTTCTCATCCCGGCAGCCCCGCTTCCCATCCAGCTCCCTGCCTGTGGCCTGGGAAAGCAGTTGAGGATGGCCCAAAGCCTTGGGACCCTGCACCCACATGGGAGACCCAGAAGAGGCTCCTGGCTCCTGGCCTATGATTGGCTCAGCTCCAGCCAGTGATGCTGCTTGGGGAGTGAACCACTGGACGGGAGACTTTCCTCTCTGTCTCTGCTCCTCTCTGTATTAGTACCTTTATTTCATGGACATAAATTTGGGGAGCTTTGATGAATAATACAAAGTTCACTGTCACAAAGCAACTGAACTACACATCCTGACTTCATATCCTATTTACACTACACACTGTCACAATGACAATTAAAATCTAGTTTTCTCATTTAATCAAACTTGAAAATTCATAGGAGTTAAAAATTAAATCCTAAAGTTAATGCAAATAAGAGAATAGTCTAATCATCTTTCTACATCAATATATATTTAAAACCATATACAGCATTCCAAATTACTTTGAATACTATAAAAATACCTTACAGCTCCAAATTACTTTGAATACCACAATAAAAACAACTTACAGCTTAACAAAGAAAACCATTGTATTCACCTTACTATACCACACATAGCACCTCCACAAAATGTATGCTGGTAGGAACACATTGGGGGTGCTACAGAGTATTCATACTGTAAAAATGCTCAAAAGTTTTCCTTTTCTCCTGTTGGCTTGGTCACACGGCAGTCTTAGGGACCCACAGTGGAACACACATGAAAATCTACTGAAATATTAGAAGGAATTAATAGAACGCTATTGTCACTTTTTTTAAGAACTGAAAATAAGAATTCACTTTACTCATATATTCAATAACGGACTTAACTCACCCATAACTCCTAAACATCGTGTAATTACAGCAGACATGCCAAAATTTCACAACAGGGATTTCTATTGAAGAACTTATGGAGACTGTTTTTATAGACAAAAAAAAAGTAGATGGACTCTAAGGTACACATGATTTTGGGCTATATCAAATAATCAGGGAACCTACTCAAAGTTTTCAACAGCCTCTAAACTGCTTATCCAAACGCTTGTCAACTGCATTTGCATAATCCATGTAACTTACCTCTTCCTGCACCCCACTGGTAGTAGTCAACTTGCTCCCATCAGTAATTGTAATAATTATTGCTGGCTCCAAGAAAAAAGGGTTTCTTCCCTAAAGTTTAAAAAAAAAAAAAGTATTGATACTATTAGGGTATAGATACTAGTTTTTCTTTTTTAAATAGAAAAGAGTATATTCCCTCTTCCTATTACCAAATACATACATTATAGAAAAAAACACAAACTAAAATGGTTAACTCTGAAGAAGCAGTATTGAGTGGATGTTCATTCTTTATATTTCGTATTATTAACAATTGTTGTATAATTTCACAATTATTTAATTTTTACAATAAACATTTATATTAACATACCTAAAGCACTTTTTAATTTGTTAAGAGATCCTAAAAGTTAAATCCTAAAAATCAGTCTCTTTCAGATGCTACAAATTACATTAAAGACATCATTTTCTGAGGAACTTTCTTAGTGGAAAGAAATATCAGTATGATCTGTCTAGAAACACAGTTTAAAAAATTAGGTACATGGATGAAAGAACTAGCTAACTAAAAGCTAGTTGCGTGGAAGTATTAGAGCTAAACTGAACCTTGCAAAACTTAACAATTATCCAAGATGAAAAGATAAAAATTAAGAACAGGGACCAAAAGAAAATGATTAGAAAGAACACAAGATGCCAACAGCCAAAGGCAGAGAACATAGCAGCTCAGACTCCCGACTGCTTTACACAGAAGTTTTCTACTCAGTAACCTGAGCACACTCAGATCCACCCAGCAGCCTGATGACAGCGACAGTTGCAGGTAACATTCCATGAGGTACCAGACAGTACAGGAGATGACAGAACAAAGACCAGAGGTAGAAATTAAGAGCATAAATTTCATGTCTGAAATCAAAGCTAACAAATTCCTTGCTGCCAATAACAAAAAACAAATCGTTTTGTTGGATATGATATAGGCTAACATGTAATAATCTTAATGTAAACATGAATCTCCGGGAGAGCTTGATAAAATGCAGTTTCTTGTTCATATGTCTGAGATGGAGATTAAGATTTAAGATTTTGCATTTCTAGTATGACAACAGATTAGTAGATTAACTATGCTGTGTCTAGACTGTGTTCAGAGTATTAACAATCTAAAACGATTCCAAAACCTTTGTCTTACATTTACAAAATTACCAATTCTTAGCATTTTATAGCATATACTAAGCATGTAAATTCAACCTAATCATTATGTAGAATCATCCTATTTTTGGTTTTCGTTCTGCTTTTCTGTCCACTTATTTGTGAGTTTTTCTCCAAAGTGAGGCTGAGTCAGGCAGGAGCTGAAAACTCAAGGCCAAGTCTCCCACAAAGGCGGTAGGGAACTAACCCTGGGTCTGTAACTGCTGCTTCCCAGGGATGCTTCAGCAGGAAGCTGAATCAGAAGCAAAGGCAAGATGCAAACCCAGACTATCACGAGCGAGGCAGACATCCCAAGGGGCAACCTAGCTGCTCCCATCTCCCACAACAAATTCTGATCAAGCCACGCAATTCACAGTGCCATGCTTTAACTGATGCCCAAGCAATAAAATGGTTCCAGAAAGTAAAGTTTCCTGTGTTCAAATGAATTTAAAATGTTGGATATAATCTCTAGAAGATTTTGAGTCCACTGTGGTATTAAACTGTCACAAGAGTATTGCAGGAAGAAAACATGAATTTTGGGCCCAGCGCAATAGTCTAGTAGTTAGGGTCCTCACTTTGCACACGTGGGGATCCCACATGGCCACCTATTCTAATCCCAGCGACCCTACTTCCCATCCAGCTCCCTGCTTGGGACCTGGGAAAGCAGTGAAGGGTAACCTAAAGCCTTGGGACCCTACACCCACCTGGGAAACCCAGAAGAGGTTTCTGGCTCCTAGCTTTGGATTGGCTCAGCTCCCGCCGTTGTGGGCACTTGGGGAACAATCATCAGATGAAAGATCTTCCTATCTGTCTCTCCTCCTCTCTGTATATCTGACTTTTCAATAAAAATAAATCTTTTTCAAAAACATGAATTATTACTCTTTTTCCTCTGTAACATTAAATACAATATATTTTGGGAAACGCTACATTATACTATTTTGCCTTATGCCATTCACCCTCAAAATGAATAAAAGCTTCAAACAATTTAGATCTTTCCATGAAAGCAGAAACATGGTAAAGTGCTTTCCTCTTCCTATGTTCACAACCTATCCAATCCCTACTCGTTCTGTAAGGCCTGGCTTAAGTCTCTGCTTGCTTGGGTTACAAGTCCTCAGAACAGCTACTTCTCTCTCTAAATTCTTATGTGACAGCTTTCAAGTTTTAAAACTGAACAAACAAATAAATAAAAAGTAAATGTTTCTTCAAATGAAATTAGATTCAGTGGTTTAATGGAGAACATTTTCCAAAAGTCACCTTCTTATACCATTTATCCAGTCCTCAACTAATTAAACATAAAATTAAATATGCACCATCTATCTCAACAACATGAATACACTTACTACTACTTAATAATATACTTTTAAGAGTGTTAATAAATTTTGGGTTGGTTTTTTTTTTCTGTAATCTAAAGGAAAATCTTTTTTACTATTGTCTCATGTGTTTGAATACACTGAAGGGAAAGATCCTGTCATAATGGTTATGTATCCTTCCTCTGGTTATGTATCCTTCCTCTGGTTCACGATGATAACCTAATACAAATATTCCCAAGTCTGTAGGATCATTTATACATTGTTCAAACTTCAAAAAGCTTCAGATAATATATGTACGAGTATGTGACCTTTACAATAGAAATGCCCATCACACTCAACACATCACAACTCATAATTTTACTGGGCTACAATGAGATCAAAAAGAATACTACCTCCTGGACCCAGTGCATAGTGGTTAAGGTCCTTGCCTTGCATGCCCGGGATCCCATACGGGCGCCTATTCTAATCCCAGCTGCCCTTCTTCCCATCCAGCTCCCTGCTTATGGCCTGGGAATGAAGTCGAGAACAGCCCAAAGCCTTAGTACCCTGCACCTGTGTGGGAAACCCAGCAGAAGCTCCTGTCTCCTGGCTTCGGAATGGCTCAGCTCCAGCTGTTGGGACCACTTGGGAAGTGAATCAATGGACAGAAGGTCTTCCTATCTATCTCTCCTCCTCTCTGTATATCTGTCTTTCCAATAAAAATAAATAAATCTTAAAAAAAAAAAAATACTACCTCCTTATGTCCATCCACCATCCACTGTTCACACATTTATAATAGTCATGCAGTTTACATGGCAATTTTACACTAGGTGATGTTAGGTGCATGATAGATCATATCTCATCTTATGCCTAATAAGTGCATGCACATATAACTAATGTCTTCTTTCATGGTCTTTAACAATAGCATTGCAGCTCAGAAACTGACAAAGGAAGAAATCTAGATGTCACAGTATCTTCAAAATGAATTTAACTTGCTTCCACTCTTAAACCATTTTTGTTGACTTGTTGCATTTCAAAACAAATATCCAAAGCTTAAAAAGTGATCAAGGGAAGGGTCAATTTTTTATGCTTGGGTCTTCTAAACGGCCTCTTTTTAATATAAAGTCAGATCTTCTGACCAAAAGCCTGGACAGTCGCCCAACTCTTACGCCTGTGCGAGCACTCTGAGAATTACCTTTTAGGAGCCAGAAAATATGTCATAATTGTAATAACAATAATTTTTAAAACCTATTATATTTTAGGTAGGATGAAACCCAAACACTAACACAGTTGGTTGGCTCTCCCTTGCCGTGAATACCAAACCCACAGATTCAAGCAATCACAGACTGAAAATATTTGGGGAAAAAAATTAGTCTGTACTAAATAAGTACAGACCTTTATTCCTGTGACTATCCTCTAACAATGCAGTAATGGATAAATGTATAATAATGTAATGGATAAAGGTTTTTTCCCATAGCCTTTATCCATTAGGTATTATAAATAATCTAGAGATAATTTATGGGAAGGCATGTGTAGACTTATGTGAACACAACAGCCATCTTAATCTGCAGGGATACTGGAACCAATTCCCTATGGATCCTGAGAGGCAACTAAATATTTTCCAAATCCATAATGCATAAAAATCAAATCAAAATACATGAAAACATAGCAGAGTCAGAATTATTCAATTTATGTTCAATTCAAAACTAAAATCAAAGTTGCCTTTTCTTAAACAATAAAGCAAAATTTAAGTTGTAACTTTATATGATCTTACACTTAACCCCATCCGCAGAGTCCTTCTTTTGGAATTATATAATATTTAGGCTCTCAGTAATAATAAACCACTTCTCATTTCACCCTAAAGCACTTGAGGAAGCAGAACATTTAGGGAGATTAAGTGATGTTAACTACAAACCCAAATAAGAGGTTCCAACTCCAAACCACACAGCACTCCTCAGCACCTGCAGACCGCCCAGCGAGTTGCTAAACTCTCTTGGATACAATTCTACAGCAACCTGACATTTCATGTCCACCAACAATTCATGGTGCTAACAATCAGGTTTCTTTAAAAAACAAATTGGTAGGGACACTGAAAAACAAAGCAAATTTTTTAACAACTATAACTTTCAAAAAATTATACAATTTAACCAACTTTCAGAGAGTGTTTACAACAAAATAATGCAAGTGTTTCTGTGGCTTTAAATTATGAAATTTTCAGGTAAAGATAAAAGGTAGAACAAGAATTTCTTTAAATACTGTAATTCTTATGGCATAAATTTAATTACCCTCAATCAGCAATGCCTAAGTTCTGTTCACCCCTAAGCTAAAAAACTTAAGCCAAGAATCACAATAAAAAAAGGCAATAGTTAACTATAATAGCAGAATAATGATTTATGTATCTATAAAAATTATCATTTTTGGCATTAAACAAATATTTGAACATTACAAACGTACTTAAGCACGAGTTTCTAAATGACCAGAAAAAAAAATGAGCCAAACATATTGTTCCAAAGAAGTTTTCTTACATATGATTTTTCATTTTTTTGCCCAGCCTTTGTTGTTACAAGACACAGCTTTTTCTTTCTCTACCAGCAATACTATTTATCTGTCAAAGTAACACAGGCTCATTTGTTCACTAGCATACCTGATTTTTCT